CAAAAGGGCCTACAAACATCACAACAAATTATTATGTAGGATTAGAAGTCAAACAACATAGAAATGTACTTTTCAACGTAACCTTTTCAGTCTTTTGGTGATGACATTAAACATCAAAATGTTTGGAATTCGTTATCATAATAATAGAAATGGAAATGTGTTTCAGTCAATTTGTAAAATAACTGAATAGTTAGACGTTTAATAAATATGTTACACATTTTGACAGTAAAATAATATACACACTATAAAAAAAGCAATGCTCAGGTGAAATATTTACTTTGTGTTGCAAGTCAAAATAGTGTAAACGAAAATCGCAAAATTACCAAGCAAGTGACTTATCAAAACTTCGTCACCATTAACGATGCTACCCACAAAGATACCTACATTTCCTTATTATCTCGAAAACTGTACCGGTATTAATAAGGGCGTATGGTCACATTGATCAACAAAATGAAATAGCCATAAAAGTGACTAATGCGCTTACGAATGGCGCAGCAGAGGTCGCGAACTAGTCTAGATTTCTGCTATACATTCGGGTACTCACTTGGAAAAACAATAACAAAGGCAACAACCAGTTCCGGGGAATTGCGTTAGATCAGTGCCCCTTTAAGCATCTTTATAACTATTTTCATGACAGTAAATTGTTATATAAATAACAGTCTGGCTTTCAAAAAGTCCATTCCACTGTCCATCAATTAATTTATATCTTCAGATAATAGGGAAACATATTTATGGTTTTTGCGATGAGTCAAAGGCATTTGATCGTGTCTGGCATAGAGGGCTTACGTACAAATTAGCAATGTATGGTATAAAAGGGAAAGTACTTGAATGGCTGTCTAGTTACATAAGCAATCGTATTCAGCCATAATTTGTAAGCGGGGCTCTATCCAAGCCAAGGATTTTGAAAGCTGGCGTTCCACAGAGGTCTGTGTTAGGCCCCTTTTTATTCATTGTATTTGTAAACGATAAATTAGATTGTATAACAAGACTCTTTGCTGACGATATAGCACTCGGCTTTTCTTCACCAGATAATAAACTAGTTGATTCAACTCTAAATTTAAACCTAAGCAAGCTGTGTAACTGGGCAAAAAGCTGGTCAATGAAATTCAACCCAGATAAAACAGAAGCGGTTATATTTTCATTAAAAGATGTATCAGACGTTATAACCCTGTACTTTGATGAATGTAAAGTTAAGAATGTTCAAAGTCATAAACATTTGGGTATAACGTTTGCATCAAACGGATAGTGGTCCTCTCACGTAGATAACATAATTAAATCAACATAAAAAATGATAACTTCATCGAGAAAATTAAATTCATATTGAACAGAAATACATTAAATAAAGTATATACAATTTTCATGAAACCCCATTTCGAACATGCGAATGAAGTGTGGGGTGGGTGTTATGTAGAATTATCAACTCAGAAAATCTCCAACTAGAAGTTGCCAGAACAGTTACTGGGCTCAACAAAGCATACTTCGCACAAACATCTGTTTTTTTAAACAGGATGGGAAACGTTAATAGAACAAAGGAGGAAAGGTAAGCTATGTTTGTTCTACAAAATACAAAGTAATATTGCCCTAGCTTATCTGTTGTCCGTAATAATGACGTACTCGCTCATCAACACACAAACACGTCTTCTAAGGTCAGAACACCAAGATGTCATCTATAGTCAATACACGAGCTCCTCCTCTCTGATCATTACACAAGCACGTTTTCTAAGGTCAGAACACAAAGATGTCATCTATAGTCAATACACGAGCTTCTCATCTCTGACCATTACACAATTACGTCCCTTCTAGTAAGTAATTAAGGACGTCCTTTCTGGTCAACACACAAACACGTCTTCTAAGGTCAGAACACGAAGATGTCATCTACAGTCAGTATAAGAGCACCTCCCCTCTGATCAGTACACAACGACGTCCTCTCTAGTAAGTAATAAAGGACGTCCTGTTTGGTCAACACATACACGCGCCCTCTCTGGTCAGTAACAAAGACACAATCACATTCTCTGTTGTCCGAAATAATGACGTTCTCTCTCATCAACACACAAACACGTCTTCTTCGGTCAGTACACCTAGATGTCATCTATAGTCAGTACAAGAGCACCTCTGCTCTTATCAGTACACAAGCACGTCCTACCTAGTAAGTGATAAAGGACGTCCTCTCTGGTCAACACACAAGGACATTATATTTAGTCAGTAATGAAGGACGTCCTCTTTGGTCAGTTCACTATCATACCCTGCCTGGCCAGTATACAAATTCGTCCTATCTAGTCAGTTCTCAAGCACGTCCACTCTGGTCAGTGCACAAGTACGTCCACTATCGTCAATAAACAAGCATATCCTCTTTATCCTCAGTTATGCGGGACGCCTTCTCTGGTCACCATGCAAGCACATTCTCTTTAGTCAGTAATAAATGACGTTATCACTGGCCAGTTCACAAGTACGTAATGTCTGTACAAAGGGAAGTCTTCATTGGTTAGCACACAAGCATGGTTACTTGTGGTGTCCCATTCATGACAACATGCAATTCCCTGTTGTCAGGTTACTTGATGAGGAAACCCTTTTTACTTAACAAGAAATGACAAATATACTCTATGTATTTCCTCTATTCTGGAGTCTCAGGAACGTACAGGTGAATCTTGATACGAAACGGTTAATCAATGGTTAATCAAGATCGTCATCTTATAAATGATTAGATAAGTTCTACAAAGACTGACTAAGTGACCGTTTGAATATCATGTCAACAAATCAAGAATATATCCGCTCGGATTCTGGTATAGCACTGATCATCAGTCACCTTCGCTTGACGTAAGAGGAGCCTAAAATGGACAGGGGTCGAGGCTTGCTGACTTGGTTGATTTCGTGCTCGCAGGTCGCTGCTTAAAATATTTAGTAGTGGTTTCTCTGGTCCAGACTGAAGTCTTGACATATTGCCGTGATATAACTCGAATATTGTTCAAATAAACTCAAGTTCATGCTCATACGTTCACTACATATTCTCTGTTCATGAGTGAGTGTGTGTGTGTGTGTGTGTGTGTGTGTGTGTGTGTGCAAGCACGGTTTTATAGTTTTCATGCCACGGTATCAACATGGATACCCGACGCAGCGTACTGACTCTAAGACGGTTAGGGGGTTAGTGAGTGAGTGAGTGAGTGAGTGAGTGAGTGAGTGAGTGAGTGACGCCGCTTTAAGCAATATTCCAGCAATACCACGGCGGAGGGAGACCAGAAATGGATTAATCTCATTGGAACAGTAACTTGTGGGTTATCAGATACATGTCTCCTCTTGGATATATTCGCCTCTTCTACAAAAATAATGCATGGTAACACCGATGCTGTTTTAATCTAATAAACAACTCTTTTCTGGTTAAAAGAAATCAGGCTGTGTTTTGTCATTTTCATCAACGAGCTAGCAGCTACTTAGACATTATTCATTAAACAGCACCACTAACATCTTGAGCTTTTCTTCAAGAAATTTATTTTCGCACTAATTGATAATCTGTAAAGAAAAAAAATGCCTTGTGTAAGGTATCTTTGACGGGAAACATTCAAGGAACAACAAGTATTTGTCACAAAGTGACGAAATGTCCCCCGCCTGTATATACACCATAGTACCAAATATGAAGACAATCCAGCGATTAGTTCTTGAGATATTGCGGCAACACCGTTTTCCAACTCCAAATGCAGATTTGCCTGCTGTGACCTTGAAAATGGGGTCAAGGTCACCAAAACCGACTGGCGTCTGCGGTGTCTGTATATACACCATAGTTCAAAATATGAAGAAAATCCAGTGTTTAGTTCTTGAGATATCGCTGCAACACCGTTTTCCAACTCCAAAAGCAGATTTGCCTGCTGTGACCTTGAAAATGGGGTCAAGGTCACCATAACCGACTGGTGTCTGCCATGTCTGTATATACGCCATAGTTCCAAATATGAAGACAATCCAGTGTTTAGTTCTTGAGATATCGCTGCAACTCCGTTTTCCAACTCCAAAAGCAGATTTGCCTGCTGTGACCTCGAAAATGGGGTCAAAGTCACCAAAACCGACTGGTTTCTGCGGAGTCTGTATATACACCATAATTCCAAATATGAAGACAATCCAGTGTTTAGTTCTTGAGATATCGCGGCAACACCGTTTTCCAACTCCAAAAGCAGATTTGCCTGCTGTGACCTTGAAAATGGGGTCAAGGTCACCAAAACCTACTGGTGTCTGTGGAGTCTGTATATGCACCATAGCTCCAAATATGAAGACAATCCAGTGTTTAGTTCTTGAGATATCGCGGCAACAAACAGGTGGGACGTACGGACGGTCGTGAATACTACATCCCCCGCTTCGCGCTTTCGCGCGGCGGGGGACAATAAATACAACCTAAAGCCCATGAAGTATACTGTCCCGAGTCGGATAGTTTACCTGGTCGGACAAAGCCATGAATTCATTACAGATGATAAGTTTGATAAAAAACAGAGACTCGAGAGAGGTCAAGTGGCGTTTGCATATCGAGAAAGAAACATACTGTGTGCAGTGCCGAAAACACGACACGTCCTAACCATAACAGCGATGCACCAGTCCAAGTACGCGAGACTCCGACAATTTAATACTGGAATGTAAATTAGTAATGCATAGCTTAGTCTATAATCCGGAAATACCCCCATAGTATCGTGGTATGTGTACATCACTGAAGGTTAGCTTTTGTACATTTGTCTAAACTGAGACGCACTGGTACGCAATGTCTGTGACGTAAGGATATCGAATACATACCCAATGAAACAAGTTATGCAAGTGAGACATGTCTAGGCGACCCTGTGACACCCTTTATATATATTAGGCGAAATAGATATGTTGTAGTCCGCAACGGGTTAATGTAAATAATGTCCAAGGCCTCACTGAACGTCGTCATGGCAGACCGCACCTGAGCCTAACTGAGATGACATCTACCCTACCACCCTGCTACCACTGTCGTGATGTCAACCTCACTCCGTGGGTCACATGTATGCCTGGTTACGTAATGTCGGGAGAAGAGCTGTTGACACGCTACCCAACTGTCCTTCATTGTACCCATAGATTGATCACAACCGAAGTTGTGTGGCTTCTTGAGTTACATTCATGAAAATGTATAAACACGCTCAGTAGATGTGCAGTGAGCGTAACGTTTAACACAGTTTGGCCGGGTATTTCACTTCCTCGTTCGTCAACATGGCGGGTGTCGGGATACTCGGTGTGGTGGTGCTAGTGGGATGGATACAGCTGACACAGGGTGAGTAGAACAGATCCGTCTATTTCGACGACATGTTTATGTATTCCTCGAGTATGTATACATCACTGAAAGCTAGCTATTGTTAATTTCACTATGTATAAATCAGTTGGGTGGCAATCTAAGAGGTTGGTATATAATCGACTCGGTCCACCATTTGCATGTGCAGAGAAAACAGTGTTGATACTCAAAATGAACCTGTATAATACCCCATTATACAAATGGGATTGCCCACAAGTCTTATTGTTTGCCATTATTGTATTTACTTTCAAGTCAGTGTCAGGATCACATATGCCACATGTATTTCAGTTAAATGGAATATACGTTGTTATTTAGCAGGTTCATTTTTTCGAAATTGTAAGCACACAGATTGTTCGGGTGGTAAAATGATTAATAGCATTTCTACAGACCTGGGTTGGTGGATCCGTAAACGTTAATATTAAAGAAGGTTCAGTCATATAAGAAATCGAAAACAAACATAGTATTTGGCAAACACCCCTCATAACACCATCAGATGACAATGGCATCCTATACCCCCGTAGTATGCATTGTAGCACAACAAAATCTGCATTAAGAAGTTCCCGAACACCTGGTGTCATACCTGATTATCAGTGCTCCATTTAATCACCACCAATGCCTCTCACACCCAAATGAATCTGTTTCGGCTGATAATCGAGATTGATTCCTCTCTGACGCTGACGTTTCATTAACAGTTAATGGCATCTACAGTAGGTTGAAAGAAGCAGAGGTTGTTCGATACTATCATTTACAACGCATCATAGCTAAACGATCTACACGGGACCCACATGTAGCACTACTAGGATTATGAAAAGATAAAAACACATCTGAGCTGTTTATGTGAATTAACATCCACAACATAGGGATACACGTAGGGGCTGAGTGGGTGCTGGGAGTAGTTGCCTCATTCTTGCAGTGTGGGTTCGAATCCCGGACGGGACTCAACCAAAAAAGGTACGAGAATGTATACGTTGCTCTCTAACATTTGACCACTATCTAAAAGCATTGTGTGTTCAACGCGTAGGCTCGGTGTATTTCATCGAGGATGCAGATTTAAAATATCTTAAAATCAAAAGTGCACTCCAGTGATTTGACTTGTGAACATGAGACAGATTCAGATTCACCAGCGCGCGCGCATCGACTTCTTTCAATTCTATAGATGGTAATGTGTATCTGTTTGAATCATTCAGATATAATTTCACATTATACATATATGGTTATGAAAATAAAATAATAATACACCCAAAAGCAGACATATTGTATTGAACTAAAACACTCTTTTCTCACTCTTTGAGAATCTGAACGTAAGGAAGTATCATGCGTTGTGTAAGGGCTCGTTTCGTGGTAACAGGAAGTAGCCAGAGAACAGTAAACAGACACTAGTTATAATCACAGCACATTAAGTAAAATATCCCGAGTCGGAGATTTCACCTGGTTGGAGAACAAAGCAATTGAGTCGCTGGGGTCTTACAACTTAGCAACGAGAGAGGACACGTTGAATACGTTGTTATTTGTTAATAATAGTGCAGGCAGAAATATTCCATCTATATCACGGCCCTCTGTACATAATCAGTTTGGACAAGACAATCCAGTGACTGTGGTCATGAGCACCGATCAACGCAATTGGAGCGAAAACAGCGATTTACGTCATAAATGAAAGAATCGTATGCACATGGAATAGGTGGCATCCGCATGCATGCTCGAGCGACGGCATAACCCAAGCATGCAACACATGTTTGATGAACGTGTCAACTCTGCCAAATAGTTGAATGTTGAACTGTGTGACGGAGATACCAACTTTATAGCATTTGGGGTATTCAAGCATGTTTGTATGTACACAACACAATCTACATTAATATAGCCTGTGGTCCATGTTGTGTATGTTTTTACAAGTGCCCTCACCTTTCAAACACATGCTGTCATCAAGATTTGATAGTGATTCATAAACACATCTTTATGATGGAGTCGGACAACACTGCTTCTAGCCGATATTTATTATGATATTGGAAAGGGTTTTGTAGCTTTTAGTTTTAGTTATGTAAATGGTACAGAATATAATAGTATTGAATGTAGCTGAACACACGATTTCTATGTTGTAATGTGATTATGCCGCGATGGTGCCGCAATCCCCTGATGTTCTGAAAAAGTAGTTAAGTCATGAACAATAGTGCAGAAAACACGGCACATTATAATCATAATAGTGCTGCACTTGTGCGGTGAAATTGTGTGACAAGATAGCGACACTCGGGCTATTAAATGTAACGTAGTTATGCATATCTTTATTTGTAATCATTAATTGTGTGCTGTGTAGTATTACAGAGCTAAATGCAAAATAGTTCTGTCCCTCGTTGTAATAAGACATGCCACACATAACGTCACTATAGATATGTAAAATTCAGTTACACGTTAATATTTGTTGTTGATACTTGTATAGTTTTTATGATGATATTGGGTGGGACACAGATTCTATATTCGCGCCCATCTTCGAATCTAAGACCTGGGTCTGGTACAAGAACGTTTTTTGCTCCAGTAGTGGGTTAGAAACAGATCACGAAGTCAAGGTAATGTATAAAATAGCGATAGTAAAAGGGAACTGCTATCCGTGGATAAAAATGTTTATAAGGAATTGCTCACATCGCCAGGGCAGGTAACCAAGATGGCAGCTACCCTTCTACCACAAGTGTGACGTCAACCGTACAGCTGTAGTTCGAAGGGGGTCAATGAAGATAGTGTGATCTAAACGCAGCTGTGTGTCTCGTTACATCCCTGCATAGAACATGTATACATGAGTCCAATCTGAAAAGGATATAGTGTATCTGAGGAATTTGTGACAGGGATTTCAATCCTGAAAAATGAAGACATTGGACATATGATTGTATTAGACATATGATTGTGTCCTTTATTAATCTTATTGTTTGAATCGGAAACGTCTATTAAACTCCCCTTTTTAAACCAAGTGTTGTTATGAATTGAAGGCGCCCCCTCATAAATTCAAATGCACATAGTGTTACATTATCGCGAGTGAAAAACACCTCTCAATGTATATGTGTGTAGTTAGGGTAACGTTTAACACAGTATTACTTGGTATTGCAATTGCATATTACCGTCTGTGTGGCACGAGGTACATGTAATTATATACAATTGCATATTTTGCATCCTTCCCCAAGTTTAACATTTTTAACTTTAGGCAATGCCTCACTATATATATTCTGTTAATCTTAATGTTTTCTTAAGCTGGCTTTTAAACAGTTATTCCATGACATTGTGTGACCATGGCACGAAGGCGATTATCAAACGCCACAAGATGGCAAATAATCATCATGCATAATGCAGGAATGTCTTGTAATGCCATTGGTCGGAATTTTGGGTATCATCACACTGTCGTTAGCCATTTAGTCGAGAAACACTAGATCACCACAACGCTTTAGCATGGTGTATTGCTCGACAGAACTGGAATCCGAGAACTTGGAGATGGATCCGTTGGTCAGACGAAAGTCGCTTTCTGCTTCACGTCACTGAAGGTAGAACAGGAGTTTGTTGGCACTGGAACACGGCCTACATCCCCAGGAACGTTAAACCGACTGTTGCATACGGTTGGGGCTCGGTAATGGTTTGTGGTTGTACCTCTCATGATTGCAGGTTGGATTTTGTCACTATAAGGGGCAACTTAAAAAGGACTCAGTACATTCGGAACGTTTTGAGGCCAGTCGTCGTTCCTCATTTTGATAACAACCCTCTACTCGACCTCAGTACATGGATGACAATGCCAGGCCTCATCGTTCGCATGCAGTCGTGGATTCCATGAGGACCAATGCAATAACGACTCTACCCTGGCAAGCAATGAGCCCAGATTTGAACCCCCTTGAACATGTTTGGGATATTTTGGGGCGGCGCATACAGGCTCGAAATCCTCCGGTACAAGATTTACGCCAAATGGAAGCAGCATTGCATCAGGAGTGGTTGTTGTTTACCCATCAAGAGATTCAACGTCTGACTGGAGGCATGATACGTAGGGTGGATTGCGTCATCCGAGCACGAGGCGGTTAAACCCGCCACTGATCTGTTTCATGTGTCATATCAAGTAGAGACTTTAAGGAACATTTTCACATGAAACATCAAACGTAACTTGTTTACTTAATCCTGCAGCGTCATCCTTTTTAGGTATTGTCTAAGGTCAAAAACAGTACCTGTGTTACCATGATGTTTTTAGCAGGAAATTTCAATCACAACTCATCAATATCTTCTTTATTTGTTGTCAAATGTTTGTTCTATCTGATGACCTTGGTATCGCCCTGCTCCTGTGGTCAGTCATCCCATATGCCATGATGTTTGTCATTTGTCATGGTTCAGAAATAGGGGTGTGATTAACTATTTTCTTTGTGTATATGTCACGCGTCTTCATGTAACCCGACGATACTCAAAAGGGAGGACCCCATTTCAAGTCATTCTCTATGGTGAACCGCTTGAGATATATATTATCGTCCATCAGGGAATGTCATGAATAGAGTAATAGTCTTCCTGGTGTAGAGTATCAGGGTGATGAGGTTTTATGGTTGAGGAGAGCGGTGGCCTATACAAAATGCTTGCGTCAGGCACTTCAGTTAGTTTTTAAAACTCCTTGTCGACCTCATTGCTAAGAAAGTTAAGTAAACATTTCATAATCAGTCGCCTCAGTAGATTCAACATAAACGCATGCTACATTTGAGAACGAGGGTTTATTCGACGGGTACAGTGGTAGAACCCTGTCTTTATTCATAAGATATATCCGTTTATTGTACGATTATATCATGAGCATGTGATCGTGAATCACAATCAAACAATATCAGATAATCAATATACCGAAAGCTTAAGTTTTATCCGGGCAAAAATTCAGATTCATATGCATAATGAAACAGATCAGCAACACGGGGAGCACAATTGGTGCTCATGAATATGCTTACTTCCACCGAAAATGTCTTCTCTGTAACTGTTATCTTCAGATGGCA